ATCCTGAAGCGATGTCCTCCCATTCTCTCTCAGTATCAGGCAGCTTAAGGAAATCTGTCTTTAGGTTTTCCCAAATGACGTGGGTCATTTCTTTTATTAGTTTACTTATTGTCGAAACGCCTACTCTGTATGAGTAATGTATTTCTTTGAATGAACATCCTGAAGCTAAATATCTGAAAAAAAAAGTATTTTTGTTAATACATTATTACTTTATACGTCACCAAGAAACAAATTGTATTGTTTTATGATATTTTTTATTGATTTCAGGAAAACAGGTTTCAACTAAATGGAATAATATACGAGATTCGTGGCTTAAGACAGTAAAGAAACAAAAAGATGAGTCTAAATCTGGATCTTCGACCAAAAAAGACACGAAATTATTTATATCACGAGCAATTAATGTTTTTGAAAAAAGTCTCCGAACCTCGACCACCACATGAGTCAGTTTCAAAAAAAAGCAAGAACCGAGACTGAAGTAGGCATGGAATCAGATTTTCGTTCACCTTTAATTAAAGATAAAAAAAAATTGATAATAAAGAGGTAAATGACAGGATGGTAAAGTTTTTGGACTCCAGAATAAACCCAGAAAAGGAAAACCATCATCTATCTTTCTTCAAAGGCATTATACCAATCTTGAACACTTTAACTATCGAAGAGACTTTAGAATTTCAAGCTAGCGTCATGACAATGTTGCAAAAAATTAAAAGTAGGAATTATGAGAGACCAAATTACGGACATTGGCGTGATTCATATAATCAGATAACCGGACCAGATCAGTATTCTGGATACTACACACATAATAGCGTCAATCAACAGCCAATACCTACGCAAGATCAACACTACCCTGGATACTCTACGCAATATAATAGTAGCAATCAACAGGCAACAACATCTATACCATCAACTTCATCTCAGACATCGAATCCGATTCCAGCTTCGCCATCAGCATCTAGTAATCGTTCCATACATTCCCAAGACTCAGATTACTTAGATTTTGAAGGGATTTAAGTTTGAGTACAAATAAATACTTAAATAATTGTTTGCATTTTTAATTCATAATGATTATCAAATACATACACCCTCCCACACACACACATTATATATATTCACATTCATGAAACAAACATACATAGCAAACATTCATTCATTCATACAGTCTTAAGTAGGTACCTACGTCAAAACTATTATTACGCAATCTAGTGCATAAAATAATCTTACCTTAGACATATGGCTAATCTTTGTTCTGGGCAAATACATTCTCTGAAACTTGTATCTCGTACTCTTATGTCTAGTCGTCCCAGTAAATCGTCAAAAGTGGTTGCTGTCATTCGAAAATAATTGAAGAACTTTGATTCGTCTCTTCTAAGTTCACCCATTAATGTTTCAAATGTTCCAAGTGAAAATCTTTCCCGTAAAATAGGGTGTACCCAATGTTTTCTTTTATTTTGCCTTCTATTAAGATACCACCACAACACAACAATTTCGTCGTCCATTGTGCGCGCAGGTCCAAATTCAACTGAGGACTGTCTGAATTTCTTCCGGGATCCGATGTAATGTGAACACTCTGTCCGGTGTCCGGTTTTCGGCAGATCTGCCGGTCCGGCGTAGTGGGAACCCGGCCTAAGGCCGTGGCCCCATGTCTACGGCACGGCACCGGCTACCGTGCAACGGCACGGCGCCGTCGCCGTGACACGGTACGACGCCGTGCCGCACCACGGTGCCGCGGGCGGTGTGCGCGGGGGCCAATTCTCAGTCGATATTTCGCAGGTGGCGTGCGTGCATGTGTTTAATGTGTTTAAAACAAAATGGTGGAAAATATCGATGTAGATTTCTTTATTTCGTTAGTGGAGGCACGTACAGTGCTCTGGGACAAGACAAATGACAATTATAAGGACAAACATTTAAAAACAGAAGCGTGGAAAGATGTTTGCCGAAACATTTTTGAATCATTTGATGACAAGGACATTAAAGAAAAAACAAAACTGGGTGAGTACTAACATTTATTTGTTTTTAATGTTTTTATGATAATGGAGTAGGTACAGTCGTGGTCTCATCGAGATATATTTTTATGCAGAAATAGAACTTGCGCTGCTGTAATAAGATCTATAATAATGGTTGTACACCATACAGTTCCTGTGTACTTTGAGATGACGTCTCTTCCACATAGGAATTCAGTCTTGATAATAGAAGGCAGGTAGGAATTTCTTTTTTTTTCGTGACTGGTTTTGAGTTATATTTTGGTTAATTGCCAACTAAGCGCGCCAACATCGCTATTAAAATATTTAGAAAACTCGTCTCTTATATTTACTGGATTTGATAAAGAAACGTCATCTATAGTTTGTCGCAAGTCCAAAAGGGAGTCATCGATATACAGTTCTTCGGACATTTTACTTCCATCTCGAGATACAACAAAGTTGTGCAATACACAGCATGCTTTGATAATGTCTGTTGCAAAATCATATTTGACGTTTAAAGGCCTGTGAAATATACGCCGTTTATTTGCAAGTATGCCAAAAGCACACTCGACATTTCGTCTGGCCCGACTCAAACGGTAATTAAAAATTCTTTGATCTATACTTAAATGTTTCCCTGAGTATGGACGCATTAGATTACTCATTAACGGTAGGCCTTCATCTGCAATAAAGACATACGGAACTGGTTTTTGAAGGCCTGGCAAAGGCTTTGAAACTGGTATGGGGAGTCGATGTTGAATTAATAATTCATATAGTTTTGTGTTCTGAAAAATTGTCGAATCACATTCTTTTCCATACGCTCCAATATCGACATACACAAATCTGTATTTAGAATCGACTAGTCCCAGCAACACGATAGAATTATAGTTTTTATAGTTGAAAAAAAGAGATCCACTGTGGGCGGGACTGTTAATGCGAATGTGCTTCCCGTCTAAGGCCCCCATGCAATTTGGGAAATTTGTTTTTTTGTCAAAGTCTTCCGCTATTTGTTCCATAAGCTCTTCGGTTATTGTCGGTATACATTCAGATAAAAGAATGTCCCAAATAGCACGACATACTTCTTGCACTATTCTGCTGATTGTACTTTTTCCTCGATAATCTGTGAATTCCATATCTCTAAATGAATTCCCTGTTGCCAAAAACCTGAAAAGAGAAAATATATTTACTAGTTTCTTAGAACTTTGTATACCCTATGATAAATACATGTAGTCATGAAAATATTAACCTAATGTTTTATTGTTGCAGGACATGACATAATTAAAAAATGGACAAACATCAAAGACAACTACATGAAATACATGAAAAAGAAAGAGCTTGCGAACAAATCTGGAGCTGGTGCAAAGAACTTGAAAGAATATCATTTGCACAAACAACTGATGTTTTTAAAAAAAACGCACCAAATTTAACAGACTGTAGTATATTGGAAGAAGAGTCTGAAGGTCCAAAGACAAATGAAAATACTAGGTCACGATACCGACCTTATGCTACACCTACGCGTAAAAGAAAATACGTTGAAGATGATTTTGAGAACAAAATTATCGAAACTTTAGAAATTGCACAGAACAGACATGTGTCTTTTTTTAAATCAATTTTACCATTTCTGGAAAAACTAGACGACCACCAAACATTGATCTATCAAAGTCGTGTAATGCAAATATTGACAGATTTTAATCAACCCACATATCAATACAATCAACAGTCATACAGCGGCTACCAGACAGCATATCAAAGTAGCTACCAAAGATCACAAGAAGCTACAGCGACTTATCAAACAACTCACAATCCATCATCTACAAGCGTCCGTGACCAAACTTCGCCAAATTCAACCATAGAAAACATATCTAATAATTTAAGCGATATCTTATCAAACACACAGGAGTCCGAATACGATTTTTCTTAAATCTAGTTAGATAATTTAAGAACATCGCAGGGGACCACGACTCTAGAGCGAAAAAAATCGCATTGAAACTCCTGTGATACAAATAATAAACATATTTTGATTTACTATAAGTTCGTTTTATTCTTACCTGACAGTTAAACCAAGCTTCTCAATAGGATCAACAGGTTTTCTGAACACGTATTGTTTTTGTAAACGAGGTGCTAATTTGGTAAATAGTTGTTCAAAACTTGTTATGGTCATTCTAAAATATTCAAAAAATTTCTCATTCCCACATATTTTTAGGGCTTCATATTTCCTTTTGAAATGACCTCCATCTTGGTTCATTGTAAGAATATATGGATTTACCCAAAATTTCCTCTGTTTCTGTTTTTTTTTCATTCGTCGTCTTAGTAACATCAGGAGAATAATTTCGTGATCCATATCCAGATAACCACGTCCGAGTACAACAACTGCGAAATATCGACTGAGAATTGCCCCCCGCGCACATCGCCCGCGGCACCGTGGTGCGGCACGGCGTCGTACCGTGTCACGGCGACGGCGCCGTGCCGTTGCACGGTAGCCGGTGCCGTGCCGTAGACATGGGGCCACGGCCTAAGCCCGGGTGGTACCAAACCCGAAGTCTGCATCACTGACACAGAAGACGAAAATGCTCTTCTTCCCCCTTCTGGGCCTATCACCAGATCAAAAAAGAAACCTACAGCTTTACAAAATAAAATCGAATTAGAGTTATCAATTCTTCTTAAATTCAGTAACCATTCGATGGTTCCAGAAATAAATTAAATTCATTCCTATCAAATTGCAATAATGCTTACGAATTAGCATCAGAAAATCAAAAGGAAATTTTATTTAAATTCATCTTATGTCAATTAGAGGGAAAAGCAGAAACAGCATGTTCCATAAAAGAATTTTCAACCTGGCCCCAACTTAAAGAATTTCTTAAAACACAATTTAGCGAAAGAAAACACTATACACATTTACTCACAGACTTACAAGAGTGTAAACAGTTAACCAATGAACCCGTCAGCCAATATGCACTTAAAATAGAAACTTACCTTTCACAATTATTAACCGAAATATCGATTAACCATGGGCACAAGAATAGGGAAATGTATGGCAGAACCGCGGCTATGGAAGAATTAGCCCTCCATCACTTCCAATTGGGGGTATCCCCTAGAATCTCCAACATCGTTAGATGTAAATCTCCGAAGTCACTCAACGAAGCTATTAACATCGCTATTTCCGAAGAAAAAATTCAACAATTCCTATTCAAAACAAATCCTCATAAAGAAAAATTTACAAAAGTCTCAACTCATAAATCCGATCCTCCTACCTCTTCGAATACTAAATCAAGTCTCTTCTGCAGATACTGTAAAAACTCAGGGCACACTCTAGAAAACTGCAGGAAAAGAGAATATAATAATAAACTCAAATCTCAAAATTCTAGGACACCTCAGCGTGTCCATCATCTTATTCAACAGGACAACTCAAACTCCGACACAAACGAGGGTTACGACACTGTCGATTACGATTCAGATTCAAAAAACGAGTAACTGTCTCGTCCCAGTGTCGTGCGGGACATTCAATTCAAAAATCGACACCCTCAATTTCAATTACTAAATCCTCTGTATCCGTGCAGCAGAGTAAAACCTCTGACCTGTCAATTACTAAATTCTCTGTATCCGTGCAGCAGAGTAAAACCTCTGACCTGCCAATTACTAAATCCTCTGTATCCGTGCAGCAGAGTAAATCCTCTGTCCTGCCAACTTCTAAATTCTCTGTATCCGCGCAGGAGTGCATAACTAACCTGTCAAAGCCTACCAGATCCTATGAAATACTCAGTGACCCTTCAAAAACACTCTTACCTCATGTCTTGATCGACTCGTCAATATCTGATATTCCATTATCCCTTTTAGTAGACTCGGGATCATCGATAAGCCTTTTGAAAAACATATCAATTCTTAAACGGCCTCGAATCATTAAAGAGTCTATTCAAATAAAAGGAATTGATTCCTCAGACGAAGCGATTAATACAATCGGTCATTTTCAATTAAAATTAAAAATTCTAAATTCCACATTAATTCATAAATTTCATATTGTAAACAATATCAATTTACCCTACGATGGTATTATAGGTTCCGACATGCTTAACGCCCTTGGTTGTAAGATAGATTACACTAAAGACTGACTTCATATAGGTAAAATTACGACCAAACTATTATTCAATGAGCCTGTCTATTTAATTCCGCCAAGATCCGAAACCATAGTCGAATGCTCTATCTCCAATCCTGAATTAAAAGAAGGATTAATTCTAGATCAAAAGATTTCCCCTAACCTATTGGTGGCTAACTGCATAGTCACTGTAAAGGAAAATAAAAGAATAAATGTATCAGTCTTAAACATTTCTGAAGAACCTATAAACCTGAAATCGAACTTTAATCTTAACTTAATTCCCATAGACACTTATAAACCCGATAATCCTACGGTATTTATTAATCATATAAGTACAACCAAATGTACTATTCAAAGGACTAAAGAAGTCTTAAATCAACTACGCCTTTCTCATTTAAATAGCGAAGAAAAAGAAGCTCTACTTCAATTATGTTCTAATTATTCAGATATATTCCATCTTCCTAATGAAAATCTCACTTATACCAATGCCATAAGACATGAAATAAGAACGACCACTGACGTCCCAATTCACACTAAAACGTATCGTTTTCCAGAGATCCATAAAGTCGAAGTTCGTAATCAAATCGACAAAATGTTAAAATTCCCAATTCCTAAAAATCCTAAAGATATAAAATCTTTCCTCGGCCTTGTTTCGTATTATAGAAGATTTATGCCAGACTTTTCTAACATTGCAAAACCCCTTACTTCTTTCCTCAAAAAGGATCAAATCTTTTCATGGGAAAATCAACAACAACTAGCTTTCGAACTCCTCAAAGAAAAACTCACTTCAGCACCAGTCTTAAGCTATCCTGATTTCACAAAACCTTTTATTCTTACAACGGATGCATCCAATCATGCTCTCGGAGTAGTCCTCTCACAAGGACCAACAGGTCAGGAAAGACCTATCGCCTTCGCATCCCGTACACTTAACAAAAGCGAATCTAATTATAGCACAACTGAAAAAGAGTTAGCTATAATATTTGGCTGTAAAACATTCAGACCATATTTATATGGACAGAGATTCCAGATAGTCACAGACCATAGACCACTTAAGTGGCTATTTAACCACTGTTGAGTCGGTAAAGGCTGACTTCACGACGACAACGGATTTTATCATCTTAGAACAAAACTATTTGAAGTCAAACATTGCAGACAAAGACAATCGAATCAGGGTACTCGAGACTGAACTTACGAAATCTCAAAACTACTACTAATTTGTTTGTTTATCATTGCTTAGTAAGTAACTTGATCAATTTCTGTTTTTATATACTGAATTACACGTTATTTCCACAATGATTAATATATTTTATCAAATGTAAACAGAATTCGTAGCAAGTTAACTCAATTTTCTTTAAATCTGTAAAATTCCAACTTCGATATTATATGCTTGACGGAAACGAACTTAAATATGAGTGTTTTCGATGGCGAAGTTGTTGACGCCCGTTATAATCTCTTCAGACGAGATCGTGCGGATTCCTCCAGTGCTGAAACCGAGGGAGTTTTACTGGAGTTTTACTCGCCGTCCATAAAAAATACCAGGTCATCCGTCAAGCATCGTGGGATAGTGATATGGAGGATGTCTGGGTTACTCTTATTCCTGAAGCACGTGACACTTCTCGCTTAAATTTATGTGTTTGCTGTTTGCCTCCTGATATTAGAATTAACTTGTACTCTTTTATAGCCATTGCCAAAATTTACTTCTTAATCGTTTCCCTTCGGATAATTTCTTATTAATTGGTGATTTTAACACACCCGATTACTTTGATTCGATTAATCCCTCTCTGTCAATTTCCCCTAACCCGAGTAAGAAGCTTCTTCTACTAAATGAATTAATGTCACTGTGTAATCTAAAACAGCATAACTTTATCACAAATGCAAACGCTCGCTTGTTGGATTTGGTGCTTTCTAATATAGATTGTATAAGTGTCAATGAAACACTTGCATTAAGTTTGTTAGATAAAAATCATCCCGCAATTTTGATTACTCTTTCTCCAAGTCAGATATCTAAAGGGCTTCAACGCGCTAACATTAAACGGCTTAATTTTGCTAAATGTAATTTTGAAAACATTAAATCTGAACTCCAGTCTGTGAACTGGTCCGAAATCTTATCGTCCCCTTGTATTGATGAGTGCACCGAAGCTTTTTATGAGCTTTTATTTGAAATAATATTGTTACGAAGACGGGTCGACTGCAATGTTTTTAGATTTTTCCACTAGTTAGAGAACTTTTCAGCAGGCTGAAATGTGATTTCTGACCGTTTCAGGAGAGGGTCAATCACATATTAGAAAATCGTAATTTAAATAATGTCACCCTAGTTTTCAGGAGCCTGAAACATTTTTTCAGGCCGTTTCAGAACACGTGTAGTCGAATGGTACACTTTTCAGGAAACCCGTTTTCAGGCGTTTTCAGGCCTGGTTATACCCCTTTGATGAAGGAATGTTCTAGAACGAATTTTCTAGGTGTGGGACAAGGACGGAATGATACGCGAGAGAGAGGGAAGATCGGAACCTTCTAGCTTCGAGAACGCCGTACGACAAGGACGGAGCAATGTGCGAAAGGGATAGCTAGTACGCACGTTCTAGAATTGTGCGATCGCTACTCAGTTGCGCTGCCGCCTAGAGAGTTCTCGAACATCGCTCCCAGGGATATATAAGCGAGCCGAAACGCGACCAGTTAGTTCAGTTTTGAATGCGATACCAAGCGATAAACACCGGAGTGACAAAGTGCGAATATAGTGAAGACAAGTGAATACAAGTACTGTGTGAAGTGCGTGTAATTAGTGACAGTATTTTGTGTGTGTATTCAGTGAATTTTAGTGCATAATTTTCAGTTTTTAGTGTTAACAAATTCCTCGTAGATTTAATTCAAAATAAACCCTTGAAGAAATCTACGGCGTTTCTATCCGATCCCCTAGCTCGTAACATTTTGGTGTCAGAAGTGGGATAGAAAAATGCCAATTACTCCAAGGGAGAATCAAGAGGAGTTTGTAGCAGAGGCTCCAGCTGCTGAGGGAGTGCAGACAAGGGCGCAATCAGCACGCGACGCTGCCCGACGACAAAGTTTCGATGCGAACCGCGGGATGGGTGAAAGCAACGATGCCAACATGCTTCTTGCGCTGCGCCAAATGATGGAAGAACAGGCACGACGTCAAGAGGAACAGGCACGACAAATGGTGGAAGAACAGGCACGACGTCAAGAGGAACAGGCACGACAAATGATGGAAGAACAGGCACGACGTCAAGAGGAACAGGCACGACAAATGATGGAAGAACAGGCACGACGTCAAGAGGAACAGGCACGCCGTCAGGAGGAACAGGCCCGTCATCAGGAAGAACAGGTTCGGCGATTGATGGAGGAACAGGCTCGCCGTCAAGAGGAACAGGCACGCCAAATGGTGGAAGAACAGGCTCAGACACGTCGTATGATGGAGGAACAGGCTCGACGTATAGGACAAAAATTAGGAGATCTGAAACAAGAAGTAGATAAAAAAATCGAAAATTTGGAATCTGACGTGGACTGCAAATTTTCGAAACAGGACAAACGTATTCTCGGTTTAGAACAAGAGATGCAGTGCCTGAAGACCACGGGTGTCGTAACGACTGTAGCACCATCTGGAAATCTGAAAGTACCTCCCTTTGATGGTACATCTTCCTGGGGCGCGTACAAAATACAGTTTGAGACTATGGCAGAGTCAAACGGGTGGAATGACGATCAGGCTGTCACCGCCCTTATTATGGGACTGCGAGATGAAGCCCTCACCATATTAGAAACCAAGACAGGTAAAGTGACGTTGAAGCAACTGCTGGATGCCCTGGAATCACGGTACGGAGACGCACATTTAGAGCACGTCTATAGGGCTCAATTAAAGGATAGAATACAGCAGACAAATGAAAGTTTGCAAAAATGGGGATTTGAAATAGAGAAGCTGGTTAGGAAAGCCTACGCATCCTCACCAGACGTTGCAGACAAGATGTTGGTTCAAGCCTTCGTCGACGGTATTCGAGACCGTGAAATTCGAATGGCTGTGAACCTAGGTCACCATAAGGACCTCCAGAATGCTCTTGCTCATGCGTTGGAAGTGGAAGCATTTTGCAAGGATTCTCGACCTAACCGCATTAGGGCTGTCTCGGAAAAACGTAGTTCCCAACGTGGACCCACCTGTTACCTCTGCGGGGAAGTAGGTCATATGAGGTTTTCATGCCCTAAGAGAGACCTCCAAGGCGAAATGAAGACAAAACGTGGGGAGCCCGAAGACGTGGATGTCACTGCCGCTGAACAGCGGCAGGGAAACGAATAAAAGCCAGGACCACGGGGCGGGTGCTGGCCGGTTCTGTAAGGAAGGCCCCAAAAGTTATGATCTCTCAAACTCAGGATGGGAATACCATTGTCATCGACGGCGAAGTTAACGGCACTAGGTGTGAATTAACCCTTGATACTGGAGCTTCCCGGACAGTAATCAGATACCAACTTCTGAAGTCGTTTTACAAGAGCCTTTCTGGTGGAAATGTACAGCTCCTTACAGCTACTGGTCAGCACATAACCGTTCGAGGAGAAGGTATCGCTACCTTCAAGATTGGTGGAAGAACATACAGACATATGGTGGTTATTGCTGACATCGTGGATGACTGTATTATCGGTTTAGACTTCATGAAGCATTACAACTGTAAGATTGACCTAAAGAACGGCATATTCAAGTGTAGAGATGAAGTAGTTTCCCTAAAAGATAACACATTGAAGAACGGGTACGACGTGTATAGAGCTATCACTGAAGATGGTTCAGTTAGTAAACAACGAGATATAGTTCAAGCAGTACTGGAGGACTGTAAGGAAACCTTGACGAGAGAAGAAATGTCGAAAGCAAAGGGACTATTAAAGACATTTTCTGACATGTTTGCTACACACGATGGAGATCTAGGAAGGACAGGTGTAGTTAAACATCGAATTGAGACTGGAACTGAAGCACCTATACGCTTAAGACCGCGACGAGTACCTGTCGCATATGAAAAGAATATAGACAAGATGATTGCAGAAATGTCAAACCATAATGTTATTGAAGCATCTTCCAGCCCTTGGTGCTCTCCAGTAGTTTTAGTCAAGAAAAAGGATAACAGTTTAAGGTTCTGCGTCGACTACCGTCGTCTTAACGATATCACGAAGAAGGACAGTTATCCGTTACCTAGAATAGATGACACCTTGGATACCTTAAGTGGGGCAAAATGGTTTACAACTTTAGACTTGAAAAGTGGGTACTGGCAAGTGGAAATAGACCCAAGTCATAAAGAGAAAACAGCGTTCTCAACTGGTAAAGGACTATGGCAGTTTAAAGTTATGCCGTTTGGGCTTTGCAATGCACCTGCCACCTTTGAAAGACTTATGGAAAAAGTACTGTCAGGACTGATAGGAGAAGCCTGCTTAGTGTACTTGGATGATGTAGTCATCATTGGGAAGGATTTTGATGATCACATACGAAATCTGCAACGGGTGCTCTCCAGACTGCATAAAGCCAACCTAAAACTAAGTGCAAAGAAATGTTTATTTTTCAAGAGAGCAGTGAGCTACTTGGGGCACATTATATCAGAGGACGGAGTTCGAACAGACCCTGAGAAGATAGTTGCGGTGAAGGATTGGCCAGTACCTAAAGATAAAACTGAAGTCCGCGCTTTCTTAGGCTTATGTTCTTACTACCGAAGATTTGTGAAAAATTTCGCGGATATTGCAAAACCACTTCACAGACTCACCGAACAGAAGAGGAAATTCACATGGGATGGAGAGTGTGAAGATGCGTTTAATGAGCTCAAGAACCGACTGTGTGAGACTCCAATACTAGGCTACCCGGATCAAGATGGTGAATATGTGGTAGATACAGATGCCAGTGGAATTGGCATTGGAGGTGTACTATCACAAGTAAAAAGTGAGCACGAGCAAGTAATAGCCTACTTCAGCAAGTCATTGTCGAAACCAGAACGGAACTACTGTGTCACTCGGAGGGAACTACTGGCTGTTGTGAAGACGCTGCAGCACTTCAGTAAATACTTGCTAGGTCGCAAGTTCCGTCTTAGGACAGATCATGCTGCATTAAAATGGCTACTTCAGTTCAAGAATCCGGAAGGACAAGTGGCACGATGGATCGAACAACTGCAAGAGTATGACTTTGCTACTGAACATCGCAAGGGCAGAGCCCACGGGAACGCAGATGCATTGTCTCGAAGGCCATGTGAGGAGGATTGCAAACATTGTACAAGACACGAAGGTAGAGAGGTAGCCCATGTGAGGATACTAAGGACAGACACGATTAGTCCAGATTGGTGTGGGAAATTAATTCAGGAAGAGCAACAACAAGATTCTGACATTAAACCAATTCTGGACTGGATGAAATCTTCAGCTATCAAGCCGCGGTGGAATGATGTTGCATCTACTAGCACCACGACCAAGAGTTACTGGGCTCAATGGGATAGCTTAGTTCTTCATAATGGAGTGTTATGTCGCAAATGGGAAAACACTCGAGGGGATGCATCTCATCTACAGTTAGTGGTGCCAAGATCCAAGGTTCGCGATATCTTGGAAATGTTTCATGATGGCTCATCAGGCGGACACTTAGGAGTAAAAAGGACTCTTCTAAAAATTAAAGAGAGATTTTATTGGATACATTGCCGCGAAGATGTAGAAGACTGGATTCGGAAATGTAAAGCTTGTGCAGCTGTTAAAGGCCCACAGACGAGAACCAGAGCGACTATGAAGCAATACAATGTCGGAGCTCCATGGGAGAGGATAGCAGTTGACATAGCCGGACCATTTCCGTTAACAGAAAGAGGAAATAAGTACATCATGGTTGTTATGGATTATTTTACAAAGTGGCCTGAAGTGTTCGCTATTCCCAATCAAGAAGCAGCTACAGTAGCCGAGATACTTGTAAATGACGTATTCTCTAGATTTGGAGTACCCTTGGAGATGCACAGTGATCAGGGAAGAAATTTTGAGTCTTTACTGTTCCAAGAAGTATGCAGATTAATGGGAATTCATAAGACGCGGACTACTCCATATCACCCACAGTCAGATGGAATGGTGGAACGCTTTAATCAAACCTTGGAAAGGCACTTGGCAAAATTGGTGGACAGCTATCAAAAAGACTGGGACAAGTATATTCCGTTATTTTTAATGTCATACCGGTCTGCGGTTCATGAAACCACGAATGTTACACCTGCCTTAGCCATGTTTGGGAGACAACTTAGATTACCAGCAGACATTGTAACGGGACGACCACCTGATACCCCGGAGAGTGTTACGGAATATGCTGCGGATTTGCGTAATAAACTGCATGAAATCCATGAACACGTACGAGCATCACAAAACAAAATAAGTGAGACTACGAAGATTAGGTATGACAGAAAGACGAATCACATAGAATTTAAAGAAGGCTCGCAAGTATGGCTTCATAACCCAACAAAACGCAAAGGCAAATCACCAAAGCTTCAAGCTGACTGGGACGGTCCATACACGATAGTCACGAAGATTAATGACGTTACTTACCGGATAAAGAAAATGAGTGGTTTAAGAAGCAAACCGAAAGTCGTTCACATAAATCGATTGGCTCCCTATAAAGGAAGTAATGATGCTCGGGACGAGCATGTCTAAGGAGGGGGTAGTGTTACGAAGACGGGTCGACTGCAATGTTTTTAGATTTTTCCACTAGTTAGAGAACTTTTCAGCAGGCTGAAATGTGATTTCTGACCGTTTCAGGAGAGGGTCAATCACATATTAGAAAATCGTAATTTAAATAATGTCACCCTAGTTTTCAGGAGCCTGAAACATTTTTTCAGGCCGTTTCAGAACACGTGTAGTCGAATGGTACACTTTTCAGGAAACCCGTTTTCAGGCGTTTTCAGGCCTGGTTATACCCCTTTGATGAAGGAATGTTCTAGAACGAATTTTCTAGGTGTGGGACAAGGACGGAATGATACGCGAGAGAGAGGGAAGATCGGAACCTTCTAGCTTCGAGAACGCCGTACGACAAGGACGGAGCAATGTGCGAAAGGGATAGCTAGTACGCACGTTCTAGAATTGTGCGATCGCTACTCAGTTGCGCTGCCGCCTAGAGAGTTCTCGAACATCGCTCCCAGGGATATATAAGCGAGCCGAAACGCGACCAGTTAGTTCAGTTTTGAATGCGATACCAAGCGATAAACACCGGAGTGACAAAGTGCGAATATAGTGAAGACAAGTGAATACAAGTACTGTGTGAAGTGCGTGTAATTAGTGACAGTATTTTGTGTGTGTATTCAGTGAATTTTAGTGCATAATTTTCAGTTTTTAGTGTTAACAAATTCCTCGTAGATTTAATTCAAAATAAACCCTTGAAGAAATCTACGGCGTTTCTATCCGATCCCCTAGCTCGTAACAATATCAAGAAATACACCAAGTTGTTGCAGCAAATTCTCATCTTATCCAGTTTGGTACAGCAAATCTTTAATTAAATGTAATGACGAAAAAAACTTATATCATAAACGGTTTAAGAGGTTTGGGAATCCCCGCGATTACGATGTTTTCTCTTTGCTGAGGGAGAGATGCAAATTTCTTACCAAGATTTGTTACGACAAGTATATCGCATCCATCGAGGAATCGTTGGTCAAGGACATAAAATCATTTTGAAGATTTGTGAATAATCGTAAAGGCCATATTTCAGTGCCTCACACCATGACACTTGAAAATACTTCAGAGTCAGACGGTCAGGGGATATGTGACCTTTTTTCACGATACTTTGGTTCAGTTTTTGACGGTAAAACTAACCCTTACACTGACCAATCTGGTGCTGTAAATAACACTTATTTTAATATATTATCTGGTTTTTCTATTACGGTAACAGATATCGAACGTAAAATAGATAGTTTGGATATTAATAAAGGGGCAGGTCCTGACCTTCTGCCTCCTATTTTCATAAAAAGTTGCGGAAAGGAGTGGTCCATTCCATTATGTGTTCTCTTTAATAAATCGTTAACTAGTGGTGTGTTTCCTAAGCGCTGGAAAACTGCCCACATAATACCTATTTATAAAAGTGGCGATAAGTCAAATTGTAAAAACTATAGACCGATAAGTATTTTATCTTGCGCTGCTAAATTATTTGAGTCAGTGATGTATACTCATCTGTACAGTCATTTTAAGCCTGTTCTTTCAGACAAGCAACATGGTTTTGTTAGAAACAGGTCTACGGTCACTAACCTTCTGGAATACAAAAACTATCTCTGTCAAGTGTTTGCCACAGGTGGCCAAGTTGACTCTGTTTACACTGACTTCTCTAAGGCT